TCTCCCAGTAGTGGAGCTGTCAGAAGCCTGCCTTCTGCCTACTCTCTCTCTATACTCCCGTCTGTCCTCTGCCAGTCCCACCCCATTTGCAGTCACTCCCTAGTCCTCCTCTCATTTCTCTCTTCCTGCTTCAATCCCACTCTCCACTCCTCTCCATCTCTCCTCTTCTGTCCTCTTCCAACCAATCATAATCCTTCTCCCTCTCTGCACCCACTACCCAATACCCCGCTCCCCCCATCTCAGATTCCTCTTTTCCTTCTCTTCTCCCCTCTCACTGGTGGTTGCTTGAGAAACCTCCTCTCACCTGTCATTTTACCTCTAGGCTATGGGAATAGCACAACTTCCATGTGCACACACACACACACACACACACACACACACACACACACACACACGTATGCACATCAAGACAACATGCATGAGACCTGTGGACAAAGCACTAAGATTTCCCTCAACTTGGTGTTACTACACTGTGCTAAACGCCACAATCATACCCTTTGCCCGATGTGATGCATTTGATGTTAGGTGTGTATATATTACAGACTTTATTTTTAAAGCTAGGGATGTAACACAGAGAAAAGCTAGGGAGAGCTGGCTACACTTCAGAAAATTTGCAGAAGATACATCCCACCCCCTCCCATCGGCCCCCTCGTCAAAGCTACGCTCCAAAAACTAATGAACATGCACTGCCTAAAAACTTCTAGAAGCCAACTTTTCCGTGGCTCGCTCACTATCTACTGGCTATTGTCTCTGCTTCAGCTGTGTATGTCTTCCCGCCTGGAGACTCCGGTCATGTAAAGTGAGAGCACAGACAGGATATGCACAGGCATGGAGTTCAGCTAGTGAGAGACAGATACCCAGCCAATCATTTCATTATGTCACAGTCCAAATGAAATTATTGGTCATGTTTTTTATAGACCTACAAGGGCCACAGAAAACAGGTTTTTTATTTTCTTTTTTTTCAGACAACTTTAATTATTGATGTCTATCAGATCCATAAGAGGATTTTAACAAATAAGATAAAATGTAAGTATTTCAGAAAAAACTTACAAACCCCACCTTAAACATATGGGTCCAAAAGTTTGAAGTCCCCTAAAAGTCTCCCCTTCAGGTAATTGGGAAAGTAGAACCTGTTTTTCAATGCTACTTATGAGATAACTCCATCATAATGCCCAGGGCCAAACTGGCAGCGGTTGTGCTGCAGAACAGCTGCGTGTCGCGGATGTCAGTTGTTCACACCAGCCGTGGTTCAGCTGCAGAGCTGCTACTGCCAGCGCTATGTTTTTACATAAGGTTTGCCTTGAAAAAGGCCATGTGAGAATCTATAGAAGAACCGTGGCTGAACTGCAGCCAGTGTGGTAGCTCTAATCTGTTAACATGGGCACAGAAATGAATAGCAGGCCGGTCCCCAGCGCAACTGCAGCCGGTGTGGCCCGGGCGTGAGATTGTGGTGTAGGTGTAGACAGGAACGTGGTGGATACAGGCGGCAGAAACAGGTGAGGGATGTACATCGTCAGTAAGAGACAGGCTGCCCAGAGATTCACCCGAGAACGTGACTGTGTGAGTGGGTGTTGATGTGTGTTGTGTGAAAGGCCTGATTAGCTAGTACAATCAGATATTTTTCCCACAATCCCCCTGATTAGCAGCAGTGATCCCGCTGGAAGAGAGGAAAGGCTGACTCAAGCCTTTAAAGAACATGGCTAAGAACCTTTAGAGCCCACACACCATAGACTAACACCACATGCACACACACACACGACAGATGTACATTTGCACTGAGTCAAATGATCTGTTGTGTGAGTGTGTTTGTCTTGCAAAGCCACAAGCGCCCACCATATTTCCCCGATTGCACTCCAGTTGACCCTTTGCTTCAGGCTTTGAATTTCCAAACAAGTTCCTGTGAGTAACTTCACATGAGCTGCACTTGGGGGAAAAAAGGAAAACATTTTACCCAAGACTGCACTTGAATCAATTTGTAAATCAAAAATGTTGCTTTTATATAGAATCTGAATGTTGGAATGGCTCATTTACAAAAGTTCTCACACTTAACCTTGAAGAATCATATCGATGACAGTTTGGTTAATGGACTTTTCCACTTTTTGTCTCACATTGCAGTATGTCAACACTGTAAATCAGTATATTACAGCAAGTGGTTATTCTTCTTTTTGGTTAATCAACCTCCTCCTCAGTTAGTCATGAATTGCTTTGGTCAAGTCATTGTAAAGTTTGAATTGTAATTCAACTGTGGCTTATATGTGTAGGTGGAGAGAGACAGACAGTGATGCCACATAGTTTCCTGTTGAGTGGTTTCTACACTAGTTCCATGAAATGAAACTGCCTTGTGGTAAAGATTTCAGAACACAGATGCGGTTGGCTGTACAACCACAATAACAACAATGGTGTCTCTGCTTGCTTCCTCTCACAAGGTACAGCGGAGGACATGTCACCAAGTTTTCACCTCATCTAGCCGTCACCAATTCTGCTGCACATCTCTTCTTACAAGAAGAAACATGCTGGGAGTCAGCAAGCCACTTGACAGAAGAGTCAGGCACTCCTTACAAACACTGAAATACATTTAAATATATGAATCCCTACTAAAATACCTGTATGCATGTTCGTCTTTTGTGCTGTTTAATAGACAGAAAGCAGTATCTTTAAATAGTGACATAGAATGTATCTGTCTGAGTGAGTAACTTGTAGTTTTTAAATATTGGATACATTAATGAGGGTAAATGAATAAAAGAAGTAAAACATTGCATCAAAGTAAAAAACTACAAGAAACATACAGCATTCGAATGTCAGCCAGAATAACTGCCCTTGCAGGTGGGTTCAGAAATAATCAATGTGACACGCACTTGAGACACATCATGACGTCGTAACAAAACCACTTCCATGTTTGGTAAAGTGTGTTTTGTCAACTCGGTGATGTTGACCTGTAGGAGCACAGCTCACAGAGTTGCACCAGAAGATATCAAACATGACAAAGCCAATGAGGAATGATTAAGTCAGTGTCGCAAGATGGAACTGTGGAACAGAGACTTTTCAGATCACAAAGTTTTTTTTGTTTTTACATACATTTCCCCCAGAAGTCAGTTGCAAGCACTTTTTTTTCCTGGTGAATTCAAACAAGATGTAAAAGACTACAAACTGTGATTGTTCAGGGAGCAACGTGCAGCATATCATGTCTCTCAGCCCCAGAACAGCTACAACAACACCTACATTTCAATTTGAAGTCATGTGTTGTTCCTCTCGAGCATTTTCCATTTTATAATACCACACTGAAGAACTATAATGGCTACTGCTGATGAATGTGCAGCATCATCCTCGGGACATCACTGATTAGTTGCTCCCTCTATGCCTGAAGGGAAACTAATCCTTAAAACCGTCTGATACAAACACAAGCAAAAGCTCAACACCTCTCTGCAGATGTTAGAGTAGCTGTAACTCACACGCACACCAGACATCCACACCAATTACATGCTATGACATAACAAACCACAAACATGCCCGTAATAGCTGGAGACAGGATGAATTGACTGTAAACGTCTGCGCTCGTCTTTCCGGCGAACACAGGGTACAAGGCCTGTGTGTGGTAAATGCCTGGATGATGATTTGTCAGTGTGTAAGAACACGGTTTCTTGTTTACGATGATGAATGAGCAGCACTTCCTCTACACACACACCAGGTTCTCTATATCTAAGCTGTCACTTGGGCTCTCCGCAACACAACTGTAATGCCAGCAAGGGTGACGGTGGAAGAGTTTCGAGGGGAACCTGAATCATCCGACAGCACGAGCACGAGCCCGCGCACGCACAATCCAAACCTCTCCTGTTGTACTCGGCAGGCAGGGACTTTACACAGCACTGAAAGTCTTTATGGCATTCTGATTGACGAAAAGAGGGAACGAGGGGGAGAGGGAGAGCAGGATCTCCCCTAAGTCAATTTGAACAGCAGGCTGATGAAATTACACAGGTAGTCGTGGCCACGTTGACAAATGAGGGGAGAGATGGGGATGAAAAGAATGAGACAGTCAGAGGCACCTTTTCGCTTGCTGACGCACATGTGTATACACGTGTGTGAGCATAGTGTCGGGACAGAAAAACAAATTTATATTTTATATTACATTATCGCCTTCTCTTTCTAAACTCAGTCACCCATGAATACACAGGAATACATGGGAATCATGCATCATAGATACGTAGGCATGGATGTTTTCTTCTGCAATTAATGTTGAGGAATATGCTTCATTTCATAAACAAGACAAAACAGCACTGTACCCTTACATGTAAAGTGATAAACTCTATACTTGCAGCGGCGGAGGAATGAGGTTTGTTATTTTAAACAAAAACTACAGAACGGATTTCCACAAAACTTGGTGGAAGGATGAGACATGGGCGAAGAAAGAAGCCATTCGATTTTGGCACAGATTTGGAAAAAGGTGGACACAGGAATATTTTACACTTCGAGATACATAAGCTGTTCAGTATCATATAATTTATCACATGACCATGGAAACATTTCCTTTACACTGAAGTTAAACTGACTTGAGTTGATGAGTCAGAAAATCAGTTTGAAAGCACAGGGACACAAATAAATACCCACAATCCCACTCAAAACTCCCACAACACAAAATACCGCAATACCCTGTATCTGACTGTGCCACAACTGCTTCCAAAGCCTCAAATATTCAGGGCTGCCCTTTAAATAAACTATGTGCATTACACTTGTCACACCAATATCCCCACAGACCAACCACCATTCCCGCTGTGGTCATGGTGGTAACACTATGTGGTGACTTTTTCCACTCAGAGAAACACACAACCTCACATACCAGTGATGTGTCACGGTATATACTCTTTGCAAAGGAACAAACAGTATAAGGGAAGGTTCAGTGTCCTCAGTGCACCCAGTCAGAGAACATGAAAACGGGACATCTGGAATCAAACATCAGAAAACGAGTTCAACAGAGTAGCTTGAACTTCTTCTGTAGTTTGTCCTACCTCCATGGCTCTGGTGATGAAGGGAATCTGTGTCCCTGAGTCCAGGTCCTGGTTGATGATTAGTCTACGGGCCCACTGACCGGCCCGCACTACGCCGCTGCCCTGAATCAACACCAGCAGCTTGGACGGGTTGGACAGGGCATCTGGGCTCAGGTAGATAAAACTGGTGGGTTCATCGTCCGTGGCATCCACCTAAATGTTCAGGACAACATTAGTTACCATGTGTTGCTGACATTTATGTCAATCAAAATAAGCCTTTATTCCATTTCTACAGCAGCAAATAAAAATATGAAAATCTTTTTCTTTAAAAAGAAACAGTCCACTCCACTGAGGCCTTTGTAATTTACAAAACTTTTATGCATCAGTGGGAATCATCAATTATCA